GGCCTCAACCACTACCGCGCCATGGCCTCAACCATGTTCAACCGCCAAAAGTGCACTTCCGGATGCTTGGACACTTGCCCCTTCGTGCTACGGCTATGCCCATTAAGGCAACACCTAGCGCCACATCCTTCCGTGCAGAACGGTCCACACGAGAAGCCTCGGCACGTCCGAGGGATGCCCACAACTACCCATCTCGACACTGTGAGGCCGGGCCGGCACCTCAACAGAGCACACATTTCCGAGGGACGAGGCGACTGGAGAGACGTTGCTGATTGCTTCAACCTTGGCCTTGCCTCGGCTTCGACCGTGCTGAACCGCCCAGAGTGCACTTCCGGATGTTTGGGAACTTGCCCCTCAGTGCTACGGATATGCCACTGAAGGGAACGCGTAGACCCACATCCTTCCGTGCCGAACGGGTCACACTAGAAGCATCGGCGCGTCCAAGGGATGCGCACAACCACCCATCTCCGCACTGTGAGGCCAGGCCGGCACCTCAACAGAGAACACTTTTCCGAGGGACGAGGCGACTGGAGAGACGTTGCTGATTGCTTCAACCATGGCCTTGCCTTGGCTTCGACCGCGTTGAACCGCCCAGAGTGCACTTCCGGATGTTTGGGAACTTGCCCCTCAGTGCTACGGATATGCCACTGAAGGGAACGCGTAGACCCACATCCTTCCGTGCCGAACGGGTCACACTAGAAGCCTCGGCGCGTCCGAGGGATGCGCACAACTACCCATCTCGGCACTGTGAGGCCAGGCCGGCACCTCAACAGAGCACACTTTTCCGAGGGACGAGGCGACTGGAGAGACGTTGCTGATCGCGTCAAACACGGCCGCGCCTTGGCTTCGACCATGATGAACCGCCCATAGTGCACTTCCGGATGATTGGGAACTTGCCCCCTTCGTGCTAAGGATATGCCCGTGAAGGCTTCACCTAGCGCCACAACCTTCCGTGCGGAACGGGTCACACTGGATGCCTCGGCACGTCCGAGGGATGACCGCAACTACCCACTGTGATGCCAGACCGGCACCTCGACCAAAGGGACGAAGGCATCAAGATTTTTGACTTGGACCTTGAGGAACAAGCAAAGAACTTGCTGCACGCCAAATGTGTCATGGTGCCGGATAAGCTCACTACGAGATGCCCACATTTTTCCGTTGGACCAGCCAGAACCGGGACACGTACGACCTGGATTCGGCGTGGACTATTTTTGACTCGGTCGAATTT